GAGGCGAGGGTCGCTGCTGGCCGAATCAGAGCCCGGCAGAGCCCGGCTCCAAAGGCGCGGACCCGGCGGGCGGGAGGAGGCGTCTGCGCGGGATCCGAGCGGCGGAGGCGGCCGCTGCCGACCGGGAGACTGGGCTCCGCCTTCCCGGCCTCTGCGCTCCGCCTCGGAGCGGGAGCGGCGCGGGACCGCGGGACGCAGGGCTGCCACGGGACCCACGGCGGCCACGGGACCCAGGGCTGCCACGGGACCCACGGCGGCCACGGGACCCACGGGACCCACGGGACCCTCACCCGCGCCGAGCGAAGGCGCCGCGCCCGACGCCCGCCCAGCTCCCGCGGCGCCGCAAACGGAAAACCGAAGCCCCAGCACCGCCGCCGCCCTCGGGCCTGCGCTGCCCGGGACTCCGTGGCCTGCGCCTGCCTCTGTCTCCTCCCGGCCTCGGCGCGCGCAGGCAGGCAGGCAGGCGGGCAGGCAGGCTGGGCCGCTAACTTTGATCAGCCTTATTAATTCCAGCTGCGCTCGATTTGTTTGTCATTTTCCCGTTTTCCTCTGAAATCGTTATTTATGGCAGAAAACTCCAAGTGCCCGCTGGTGGAAGAGGCAAAGAGGAGACTTCTGAGAACGGGCGAGCGAGCGCGTTTCCCCTCAGAGGTCACCCGAAGGCAGGGGAGGGCCTGCGAGCTCTTCTTGGAATTCATTACTCAAGAGCTCTAACTAATTACCATATCAGAGCAATGAAAAAGCAAATATTTCTTAAAACAACCGAAGGTAATTATAACCCTGTTGTTGACACTAACGATTAATAATTGATCAGGAGTTACACACAATAAATTGTCAATTTATCTCCCACAAAAGTGCGCGCTCACACCGCGCGTTTCGCCTCTCCCCTCTGGCCATTTCCTGTGAAGAGACTTGTTTGGAGGGGGCCAAGACCTCACGGTGGATTCTTTAGCAATAGGAGGAGGAACTCGCTTTCAGCCCCATATAGAAGGATAGGGCATTGGGCCACTTTTAGGGAGAAGTTTCCGTGTGATCCTGGAGGCAGATTGAAACAAACTGAAACCTGCTCTTCTTTCCCTTTACCTGGGAGTGCAGAAGAACAGACTGTTTCATGACGCACTTTGAATTACATGGCCTGCACAGCGCTTCTGCCGCATGCCTGCGTCTTTTCCTTTCTTAGAAAGAAGAGCACTCTGCCGTCCCTCAAAGTAGCGGGGAGGGTGCAGGACAGAGGTACCTGGGGGGTCTGCACCCCAAGACTTGGGTTACTAGTGCGGTCCTTCTGACCCCCCGGGAGCTGAGGTCTCTGTCTGTGGATGCCCTGCGCCTGGGCGCTGACAGAGTAGAGGGGAGGGCCACAAGCATCTCACTGTGACCAATAGAAAGTCATTTTCTGCAGCTGGAAAATTATATTGTCATAGATTACTTCTCCTTAAAATAAGCCTTTAAAATATCCGTAGGGATTTGTCACTTGCATAAAGGTTTGAAAACACATCAAAGGGACATCTCCCCCATGTGATTTGTAGAAATTCAAATCATGTTAATCATAATATCCACGTATCACAGAAGCTGGTGCATTTCCCAAGATCACCTCTCGGGTGAACACATTTTAAAAACGTTGTAAATGCTGTTTTTGTAAAAGTGGTTTAAAAACACGTATCCACCCTATATCTTTCATTTGGATTTTGACCGAATGTTTTCCTTGGGATTGTGTCCTTATTCTAAAAGAAGAAAACTATATGGTGATAATCATTGTGTACTGTTCTTTGGACGACCCTTTGGAAAGATTCCTACTGTTGAATAAATTCAAAAAGGCTTCCCTCTGATTGGGTCATAAATTGATTTGAAATTATTTTTTTCCAGACTGATGTCTGTGTTCCAGCATAGGGAGCTGAGCATGTATTTATTCTATAACCTTAGAAAGAAAGGGTATACTTCACTTTTAGCCTCTGTAATAAATATTTAAATGTAATCGGCCTTGACCCCAAACGGCAGGCTGGAACCTCCAGAGTCTGCAGAGACCTGATCGACAGGGCACCGGGGAGCTGAGGCCCCAGGCCGCTCTGGACCCTGCACCTCCCCACCTCCGAGGGAGCGAGCTGTGGCTGGAGGGGGTGGGGTCCAGCAGGCAGACCCAGGGCCTGCCTTACCCCTACCCTCCCTGCCTCCCAGCTCCCTGCCTTTCTAGCCTGCCCAAGACAAAGGTAGATGAAGTTCTTTTCAAGTTTCAAAGTCAGTTGCTGGGCAGCTTTGCAGAAACAATAACGCTTTTATTGGGAACAAATGTTGACATTTGATGGTGCGGGGCAGCAGCGCCCCCCGGTGCTCCTTGCAGCACCCGACCCCTGGGGCCCACCGGAGACGAAGGCAAGGATCTGATAAATCAGCTCTAATGAAGCTGCGGGCCACAGAGGGCAGAGGGGCTGTCGAGGCCTGAGCCCGGGCACAGGGCCCGGGAGCAGGGAGCCGCCCAGGCCTGTCCCCGAAGCAAGGCCAAAGGCCCCACAGCCCTCGGCGCCTCGGCCCCTGGGCCCTATTCCGCCCGCCTCCGTCAGCAGCTGCAAAGGAGTGTCTTGGCCACAGTCACTTTTGATTAACAAGCTTTTAAAGCACAAGTAAACCTCAGCCATCAGCTTCCTGCCCCAGCGAGGGGTCTGTCTGTCTCCCTCTCTCTGCTCTTCACCCCTCAGCCTACCAGGAGAAGAGCTCATAAATCACTCTACAGTGCCTTCGCGAAGATTCCTCCACACACCTGCAAGTTTCACGTTCTTAGTGAATATCTAGAAATCAAGTTCTCCAGGAAGAAAGGCAGGTCAGGAGGCAGGTGGGTAAGTTAGGGAAATCTTTAATCATTTGCTGGGCATGTAAACATCAAAGCGGCTTCCCTGGCTTGGCTGATCTCTGGCTGCCCTGAGAGATCACCAAGTGAAAGGCGCACCTCTCTGATGGGTGTGGACAGGAAGCGGCCAGGACTGCACCTCCAGGTAAAGAAATCGCCCCCATCCCAGGAGGCGGCTGCTAACCTGGCTTCAATTTCTGAACATCTGCACAAAGATCAGCTTGGGCCTGGGATTCCCACACCCACACCTCTGTTCCTTTCAGAGACATCCCGCACTCCCTGTTATGTCTTCATTAGAGTTGGTTTTTTCTGGTGCTGGGTTTGTCAAATGTTGCTAAATTCCACTCTTCCCGCTGAAGCCCTCAAAATAGCCGCATTACATTATAGAATTACAGTTAACAGAGACACTGCTGCTACGTGCATTTTATTCCCCATGGATTCAAGAAATATAGCTAATATTAATAAAGCACTTGGTCCCTTGATATCGCAATGTAAAATAGTTCCTGGAGGGGAAAATCATGATCTTCATGGAAATTCTAAGACGGTTTTGTGTCTGAAACCAAAACCAGAGAAGGCAGTCCAAGCTGCGTCTTCCTCCCCAGATCTCGCATTTGTTGGCTGCCAGATGCACTAGGAAGGGTGGCCGGGGTCCATGGGAAAAAGCGTCCCTCCTGCCAACAGAGAGCTCAGCTCCGACACTGCCATTTCCATTACTGGGGGCGGCAGAGGAGAGAAAAGAAGAAAGGAGAGAGAAGAAAAGCTCTGCACCCCAGAGGTTTACGTTATGTCTGACCTCCAAATGCCTATGTATTTAAAGCCAGCAGAATGCACAAGAAGGACTGGAAATCGGAAACCTTCCCTTCATCTCTCTGTCCTCTCCAGGCAGGGCCCGCACAGCTGCCCTCCCCATCCGGCGTCCAGCTAACAGTCCCCTGGCTTTGCTCAAGTACCTAAGATTACTTTCAAATACCCTTTCTAGCAAGACCCCAGCAAGAGGCCACTAATTTCTATGGCACAAAAAGCCACTGGAGAGAGATCCGTTTGTCAATATCAACCGGTCCAGCAATTTCCCATCCTCAGACACATCGGCCTATCGGAGCTGGCAGATGTTTAGACAAGATTTTATAAATCGTTCAATCTCAGCCCATAATGAACCCCAACTGACCATTCCAAAGTAGCTAAAAGCACTGGAGACCTCCCCCGCTGGGATCCAATAACGCCCTCGTCCCGCGCCGTTATTAATCATGGAACAAAATAGGTGAACCTCTTGAAAAATAAGTGTATGATTGATTAAAGGGCAATCTAAGAAGCCATTATTCTTGTTTTATAACCGTAAGTTATATTCACTCAATTTATCTTTGGAGAGGAAATAAATGATTGTTCATTTCTTTTCTGAAATTATATTATATGGATAGCCACACAATTTTGCCGAAAATTAAAGTGACAGGGTTGTTGCTTTCATGATTCCAATCAAAGAGGACCCATTCCTTGACTGCAAATTTAGACCTGTCCTGTAATTAGGCAGTGAGTAAAGCGCGATAAAGACACAATAATCCAAGGCTGTTTAAACTTTTCTGGTGTGTGTGGGGGTCAGGGTAAGTATCTTTGAAAGGAAACTACCCCTCCTTCCCCCCTGGTGTTAGAGGGAGATGTGTGAAAAGGAAAGTCAAGGGACCTAAAAGAATCTGAATAATCTATGTTAATTTTGGTGGTTCAAAAAAAATCCAATTCTTTCCATCAGTAATTTCTCCTATGGGTGGAACTCCCCATTATCAATAGCATGGGACTCCTCCAGCTTAGATTACTGAGGAGGTGCCAAAGCCAGCATCACAAATAAATATAAAGTGCACAAGAGGGTCAAATCATTTTATTTTCCAAGTTTTAAAAATTTACACTAACAAGGAATTTGCATATTCAGAAAACAAAAATTATTTTTTGCAATACATTTGTATATAAATAATCTAGAACCACATGTATCTCCCTATTGTGTAGATCTCTCCCATTTGCCTGTTTTTCTTTTCTTTATGAGCAGGACCAGAAAGGAGAGTTTATTTCACACAGCTTTTCATTAAAAAGGTGAGCTGAGCTCGCCTAGAGGATCCCAGCCCTAGGGCTCCAGACTCCAATCTCTCTTCTGGAAAAATGCGCCCCAAACACCATATTATTGTAGACTAGTCTGTTTTTATTTACAATTTAAGATATAAATTAGTAAAGAATTCATGTTAAACAACCAACAAAGATTGTATAACCAGCAATGTTCAAATAAAAACCAGGCAGAATTTATTTACAAAAAGTTTAGATTCCATTGCAATACAACTTGCATAAATTACTAGAAGCTTTATATCATTATAAAAATAAATATCAAATTTGTTTTCACTTGTGAAGTACTCAAGTTCTTCAATCACGTTTTATTTCTACTGTGTACATCTTTTACAAATAAATTTTACAGTAAATCCTATCACACCTATAGAATATATACCGTGGCAATGAAGTGATCAATTCAAGATATCCTGAGAAGAAACAGATTGTTTTCAAAAGTCACACGTACATGGGGGAAGCTATACTATGCCAACAAGTTCACATACGTCCACGACAGTGTGCTGCAGTCCTTAGGGTCTGTGGCTGACAGTGCTCTGTGGGTCTTCGCGTTTACAGTGGCACAAGATACGGTCCGGATTTAGAGATCTGGTTTTTGTATCTGTGTATTTATGAGCTTGGGAAGAGAGAATGGCCTGCTGACTTTTTTTTTTTTTCCAAAGCAATTGTGACACCTACCTGTGGACCAAGGAAAAAACCAAATCATCCCAAATCCGTCAGCCCCACGCCAACAATGGTTCCACCTCTCTTTCCCCTCGTCAAGATCCAGGATTAGTAATTTTGCCTGGCTGTAGAGGAAGGTATTTTAAAGGGCTTTGCTGTGAGAAAAGGAGAAACGCAGGGTCCTATCTAGGCCACCTGGACACGGGCTGAGGGCAGGCCTGCTAAAGGCTACTGCTTTGTGTCTCCTCCTCTTCCCCAGGAACATCTACAGAAGGGTGCTGGACTGAGTTTGCGAAGCGCCTGCGTCGAAGCAGGTGTCGGCTATGTTTCCAGCACAGTGAAAACTGCTCCAAAGGACACACAAATGCCCAGATTCCAATCATCTATTTTTTCAAGGAGAAAACAATAGCAGTGTTGTAATACATATTCCAGTTAGAGTGATTTTTCAAAGCAGGAATTGAGCAAAGAGGAAATCTATAAAATAGAGCAGATACTTCTCTCCCTTAAAGGGAAAAGACCACAGGCTTGCTCTGCAATGCCCTTGGAGAGCTGAGGACTGGAGGGGCGCCTGGGTCGCAGCACTGGGTGCCCACTTACTTGCATTGCGGAGCTCGGCCCTTCTATAGGTAGGGCTGGACGCCTGCGCCGGCCACCGTGCAGCCCTCGCTGGCATCTGTCGGGGGAGGGGGCAGTGAGTGAAAACCGGACCCGCCGCCGCGGGCGGCCGACAGCCAGGCACCCGAGCGCCCTGCACCCGCACGGAGCCGAGGGTGGGCACCGCCGCTGTCTGAGATAAACTCGGTCTCTGTTCCCTCGAGCTCCCCCGCACCCCAAGCCTCTCTCAGGTAGCCGAATTATGCACAGCCCGGGCCACGCAGACAAGAGGCACGGGAAACAAAGCAGGCCTCTGAAGTGGTGAGAACGTTTCCCTTCCGTCTAAGCAAAGGCGGAGGGGTTCGCCGGGGACCCTACCTCGCCAGACTGAGCGAGCCACAGGAGGAGGCTTGAACTCATGGGCAGCGGGCCGGGCTGTAACTGGCATTTTGTGGCCATACTTGTTTGCCAAAACCCAAACAGTTATGGTGATAATATTAATCATCAATTAAATAAAGAGTAAATAATAACAGGGTAGATCTAAAAGGCAGGCTCCACCCTCTCCCACTTCACTCTCAGTCCTTCTCCCCCAGCTTGCTTCTGCCTAATAAATCCAACGGTGGCTCCTTCCGCCTTTCCGGGAACCGCAGCCTCACCCCAGCCCGCCCTGCTCCGTCTCTAACCCGCCAGTCCCTCCCCGCAGCGCCCGGCGGGCCCCGGCAGCCTACCTTTCTTGGGCTCGTAGCCGCCGCCCGGGGGCCGGTAGTGCGGCTCCAGCGGGTGCGCGCCCGCCTTGCCCGCGTCGCTGGCCGGCTTGGGCGCCGCGTGCAGCGCCTCGCTGGGGGCCGCGGCCGCCGCGTTGTAGCGCAGGAGGCCCTGGCCCTGCAGCGCCGCGTTCAAGTTCCCGTAGTTTGTGTAGTTGCCGTAGAAGGGCGCCGTGTAGTAGAGGTGGCGGCCCAGCAGCGGCGAGGCCGGGTAGGGCGAGCCGCCCGGGGTGGCCCCAGTCGAGGCGGGCGCAGCAGCGGCGGGCAGCCCCGGGGGCGCACAGCCCGGGCCCAGGCTCGGCTGTTTGAGGTCCGACGTGGCGATCTCGGCCAGCGACCACAGCTTGGGCTTGCTGGCGGGCGGCGGCGCGCCCGGCGACGTCCGGCTGCCCAGGGGTGTCTTGCGGGGCGCGGCCTCGGGCGCGGGGCTCAGCAGCGGCGCCTCCACGCCGGTGAGCGGCGAGGAGGTCACGGGCTTGGGCGGAGCCAGGTCCCGCTCGCATTCGTCCTCCTCGTCGTCTTCGTCGTCCTCCAGGTCGTCGTACTTGTCCTTGCACTCCGAGCCCGACTCGCACAGGGGGTCCCCGGCGCGGCAAGGCAGCTTCTCCCCGTCCGACTCGGCCGAGCACGAGTGATCCGTGAGCGAGTCCACATGCAGGCTGATCCCTGAGGGCGGGGTGGGCAGGTCGCTGGCGCGGGAGGCCTCCCTGCACCGGCTGCCTCCCTTCGCCCCAAACCCAACCGCGCGCGTGGGGCAACCCGGCCTCCCCAAAGCGCCCGCGGACTCCTAGGCCAAGGCCCGGGCCCGATCAGCGCTGGGAGACCGGCCGCGTCCTGCCTTCCCCGCCTGGGGAGAAGCTCCCGACTCCAGCCGCGTCCCCGCTCACCTTCGTCCTCTGCCGAGGTCTCCGTGCCCTCCTGTGTCTTGTCCGGACTGTCGTCCTTGCTCCGCGCCGCGTCGCCGTCCTCCTCGTCCTCGTCCTCGCTTTTGTTCCTGGGCGCCCACGTCATCTTGTTCTCCTTCTTGAGGCGCCGGCGCGCGTTGGCGAACCAGGTGGAGACCTGCGTGAGGGTCATCTTGGTGATGATGGCCAGCATGATCTTCTCGCCCTTGGTGGGGTAGGGGTTCTTGCGGTGCTCCTGCAGCCAGGCCTTCAGCGTGGCCGTGGCGTCACGCGTGGCGTTCTTGCGGTATGCCGGGTCGTTGAGCTGGTAGGGGTAGGCCGCGCTCCCATAAGGGTGGTAGCTGATAGCGCCGGTCATCCCAGTCGTGTGCGCGTCGTAGGGCGCGCCCTGCAACGGACAGCAGCGCGTGAGTGGGTGCACGGGACGGCGGGCTGCACCCCCGAGGCGACCCTTTCTCCCACCCGCGGCCGCCTTTCAGTCCCTGGGTCTCGCGCACTCGGGCCGCGCTGCCCTTAGCAAAGAGCGAGAAAAAGCAGCCGGTGATTTAGGGCCAGTTGTTGGTCACAAAAGCACGGCAGTTTTATTCCCGAATTTGACGTCTATTTCACTTTTCTAATACCGCACATCTTCCCCTAAATGTTGGGGGCCTCCCGCTCAATGTACACAAACACACGCGCCGCGCTCTGGCCTCCAGGTACTTTGGTGATATCTAAATTTCCCCAGAAGCTCGCAGGGCCGCCCCCACCCCCTGCCCGCCCTTATATGGTTTTAAAGAAAACACCCCAGAGCCCCCACTCCGCCATTCACCGCACTAAAGCTCAGTAAATCCAATTTGCAACTCAGAAGCCAGTCACCGTTTCGAATTCTTCAAATATGCGGTAATTAGCATTTTAATTCATGCTTTAACGTTTAAATTCAAGACATTTGCAGCCTTCAGCACGGCCTCCACCACTGCGCTGCTGCCCAGGAATTCCACCTAGGGCGGCAGGGCCGACAGCCCCCAAACGGCCTGGATCGCCCGGAAAGTGCGTAGCCACCGCCCGCCCAGGCCCGGCTGAGTGTCCTCGAGGCGCGCGGGCCGATCGGGTCGCCAGAGCAGGCTCCGCTCCCGGCGCACGGGGGACTCCGGCGGCGCTCAGGGGACCCGCGTCCGCCAAAACGTTTCTCGAAAGATCGGTCTGCGAGACAGATGGAGGCCGAGCCTAAGCCGCCTCTGGACTGGCCCCGGAGCCCCAGCCCGGGCTCTGCTCCCTCCCCCTGCCCGCGGCCCGGCCGCTGGACAGGAGCTGCGCGGCAGCTGCCCGGAAGCCCTGCGCCGACCCTCGCTCCCAAGGCCAACGCGGGCGACCGGCCCGCCCAGACCCCCAGCCGGCTACAGGGGAGCCTGGGACAGCCGGAGACAGACCCGAGCCAGGCCGAGCGAGCTACCCAGGCTCTTCGAAAAATTCTCCGGCAGCCGAGCAAAGCTCGCCGGCCGCGCCGCCTGCCACCCCGAGCCTGTTCAGACTCCGGACTTGCTGCTCGCGCCTCCTCCCGGTGCCCGCCCTGCCGACCTCCAGCCCACCCGTGCGCTCCGACGCGCACCCCGAGCCCGGGCGCCGCGTCCTCCGCGTCTCCCCGCGCGATTACCATGTAGGACGGGAAGCCGGCGGCGGCGGCGGCCGCGTCGGCCGAGTACTGCAGCGGGCTGCCGAAGCCGGT